CGAATCGCTTGATGCCTCAGATTTGGTAAATGCATGCATTAGTATACAGTTTGAGGGAGAGAGTAAGCAACCGTTAGCTATGTGGTCATCATAAAGGCACCGGTGAAAGCATCAAGTGAGGCGGATTGTCTTGTGGAATTCCTTCAGAACATTGACGGCTACAATTGATCTCCGCTGGCTACCGTCGTACAGCGTGTCCAATATGCCAAATCATGTCCTTTCAGTCAACCTATTAAAATAGCGTCACAAAGCGTAGACGGAGGAGAAGCGAGGATGCTGCCTATATACACACACAGACATACCCGCAGACCGAGCAGCAACAGTAGCACGAGTGTGCACGAGGGGTGGCCCTCACACCACACTCCATGCTTGATCAATCAGCGTAGGCCTGTTATACATACGGATGGAGATCTGGTAGTTATCTTAAATTAGACCTCAATGTCAGTGAAATAAGCACCGTGATTATTGACGCCTGCGAAACTACCCTAAGAGCAGATTGCAAGAGAAGTTTTCCTGCGTCACTTGTAACTAATTAAAATACTTTGCTTGCATCACCAAATCCTGCATTAGCCTCTTGCAATTGTGTTGGCTTGCATTGAGTTGCCCTGACGAGGTCATTCTGCTTATAGCTAATCCAATGATTTGACATAGATCATCTTCAACGAAGAAGTTCTCTCATTGGCCGCAAATGAAGGATTCAAACTCTAGAGCTTTGTATAAATTCTGCACAATCAAACAGCAGCATAGGTCATTCAAAGGTACCTGAAATATCATGGCTTTGAAGGAAAAAACCATGGTTTTGGCTTCACCTTGGCATTGGTCAGGCACTGAAACCATCAGCTCTGCATGCAGAAATATCAGGCATAACAAGAATAACAAAAATTATTTCCTCTATGCCTGTTACTATGGCTGGAATTTTTGTTTGAATGAAGCTGTATATGCATTTGAGGGTATCGAGTCCTCCCTGAAGCCAGCCACAATACCAGTTTCTCACTTAGAC